AAATGTACCCAAATGTCTGCTAGTACAATTCAGGGACTCCAAAATTGTGCCTTGAGTATGGACATCTACATCCTGGCTTAGCTTTAGCAAAGAAGCTACGGATGCTCGGCTTTACTCAAACCTGACATTCCAGACATTAAAAACCCTGGCCTCTTTTAAAAGCTGGTTGTTAGGATGGTGAAAGCAACTCGTGAAGGTTGCAGAACAGTATTTCTTTCCACTTTGGTCACTTTAAGATGGGTGGGCTTCAACTCCCAGAATTCCCCAGCCAGCCATGCTGGCTGGGGAATTCTGGGAGTTGAAGTCCACCCATCTTAAAGTGACTGAAGTTGGAAAAAAAAACCCCTTCCAGAGTTAATGCTAATGATTACTCTATAAATCTGCAAAGTGACAAATCAACACATTTTGATCACAGGATTTGTCACACGTTTTGGGGCTAGGCTTCCTCCATTCCCCTCTGTTGAGCCAGGCCTAAAATAAAAACAAATATCCAAAGCTTGCCATTCTTATTTCCAACTATCTTTCCAAAGGGCTGAATAAATGACGCACTTGGGAATAGCACAGAAAGTGGGCTACCTTGAAGATGCGTGGACTTCAATTCCCAGAATTCCTGGCTGGCTGGGGAATTCTGGGAGTTGAAATCCACAGATCGTAAAATGGCCAAGCTTGGGAAATAGTCAGCTAACCTCGTCTTGGCTCCTACACTTAATTTTTGCTGGGGCGGGGGGAGGAAATCCCTCTAAAATAGGAGATCTCGATGGAGACTGATCCAAGCGCAAAGCTGGGTTTTTTTCCCCCCTTGTAGATATAGTACGAATTTTCAAATTGCCCCTTTAAAAAAAAAAAAAATAATCAAAAGAATTTCCTCCTGCAGTCTGAAGCTGGCTGTTTCTACAAACTAAGTTCTTTCAGTCTCATTTCCAGGGGTGTAGTCAAGACTATGCCTCTCCTAGGAGACTGTACTCTCTTTAAAAAAAAAAAACACCCCAAAAAACCCAGTCCAGTTGTGGCCAGCTGCAGGGCCCACCCACCCTTAATGTAGATGAGGGGTCTTCAAACTTGGCCCTTTTAGGACTTGTGGACTTCAACTCCCAGAATTCCTCAGATAGGCACGCTGGCTGAGGAATTCTGGGAGTTGTAGTCCACAAGTCCTCAAAGGGCCAAGTTTGAAGACCCCTGATTTAGACTTTAAGAGAAGCGGACTTCAACTCCCAGAATTCCTCAGCCAGCGTGCCTGACTGAGGAATTCTGGGAGTTGAAGTCCACAAGTCCTAAAAGGGCCAAGTTTGACGACCCCTGATTGTAGAGGAACCTCAGAAGCTGTGCCGATCCAGGCTGCGAGACGCAGACAGCTTCAGCGCATACTGACCCGAGTTACCACTAGAGGGCAGCAAAATGGTGCAGAAGGGTTGCATCCTTTGCTGCCCCCTTGTGGGCACTTCAAGACTTGCAGCTCAGATTTGGCAGCTGTGGGACAGATTGGCCCCCGCTCCCGTCTTCACGAAAGATATTCGGAGATGCCTTTTCCTCCTCAATTTTCTGAGGGTGGCTATGCGTGCCAGCCTGGTCTGCTCCCAGCGACAGAGTCCCTCTAACGCTTTGACCTGCTGACCAATTGGGCAGCCCTCCCTGTCCTGGGGGTCCAGAAGAGATGACCTACATCTGGACTGGGGTCCAGAAGAGATGACCTACATCTGGACTCTTGATTCCAACTCTTGATTCGCAGCTGGGGTGTGTGTATGTTCCAACTCTTGATTCACAGCTGGGATGTGTGTGTGTGTGTGTGTGTGTGTGTGTGTCAAGGAAAAATGCCTCTCTTTCGTGTCCGAGGTCCCTCTTAAACCCTAAAAGCGGTGGGCCGTCTCCCCTCCCAACGGACCTTAAGTTTTATGCCAGTCATCGCTTCCTCGCAAAGACTCCTGAGAATTTTTGTTTGGCCAGGATGCTGAGCTTCTGGTCCAAACCAACCCTGTATCCCGCGGTCCTTTGAGAAGGGGAGAATGACCGTCAACCAACTTGAGGTCTGGGCCGTTATCATTTGGGACGCTAACCGGTCTCGCCTATTTAACGGAACAAGAAAGGGTCACATTTTTTCTCTCTCTCTGAAAGGGGAGATTGTGGATAGGACAACCAGCGAAAATGAGATTTCTATGCCAATTCAGCGCTGGCTCTCGAAAGTGGGCCTCGGGACAGGTCAAAAAAGTCAAGATGGCGGCTGCACCAGCAAAGCCACGTCCTTTTTGCATGTGTTGCTTGGGGAGTAAGGCTTTGACGGGGCGATTAGAGTCACCATCTTGACTTTTCCAGGCCCTTTGTGGATGCCCTCGGCGTGGGGCATCTCCCCGTCAATTCTCTAACCTTGGCCTGGGCAACGGTCCAGATTCGAAGGGTCCCAATGTGGGCACAGCTGCGTCTTTTTTGGCAGTTTTTTTTTGTGTGTGTTACTCCCGAAAGACGAGATGCAACGAGGCTACAGGCTGCTCCTATCAGCTCCTGGTAATGAGAATCCAATTTACTTTGCCTCGTTTGTTCTCGTCGCAGACGGGTTAGACTGCGCCAACTCTGGGCTTTGGAAAAGAGCCGGTTGGCGTCATCGGCACCAGTTGTTTCTTGGAAGTTGTGAGTCAGACGAGGAGCGCTTGAAGAGGGCAGCCAACGCTCCTTTTGTTTGGCAAGGCTTTGGGTGTAATAAGTAGACGTCCCACGGGTCAGATGTTTTCCTTTGTGTCCAGATCCTGAAGCATCTGGGCAGAGCTTGTCTTTCGGAGTTTAGCTGGGAAAGAATTCCTCTAGGTTCTTCGAAGGGCAGATTGGATGCCCTCAAGTCTTTCCAAGAGAAAATGGCTCTTCATGAAAGGATGAATTTAGAGGGAAAGCTTCCGTTTGAAACTTCTAAACCAGCTCCACCGGGCAAGATCTGCTACTCCCGAGTAGTAGCTACCACCTTCCAGAAGTCAGCTTCACCACCCCTGATAGCCAGCTGGGGTTTTTTTTTTTTGCAAGCTTCTCCTGGTGAGACCGAACCAGCATCTGAGTTTCAAGCTCACGTTCTTCAAGAAATCACAACAAAGCTGTAAAAATAAACAGGAAAGGAGCTGTTCTACCCATGCTGATCGCTGATATCTCCAAAAGGTTGGACTAGAAGACCTCCAAGGCCCCTTCCAACTCCGTTATTCTGTCGGCAGAAACCAGCAACCTGCTAAGCTTTGTCCAGAGGACATTTACAGAGGAAAGAAAGAAAGAAAGAAAGAAAGAGGGAGGGAGGGAGGGAGGGAAAGAGAAAGAAAGAAAGAAAGGAAAGAAAGGAAGGAAGGAAGGAAGGAAAGGAAAGGAAAGGAAAGGAAAGGAAAAAAGAAAGAAAGAAAGAAAGAAAGAAAGAGGGAGGGAGGGAGGGAGGGAGGGAGGGAGAGAGAGAGAAAGAAAGGAAAGGAAGGAAGGAAGGAAGGAAGGAAAGGAAAGGAAAGAAAAAAGAAAGAAAGAAAGAGGGAGGGAGGGAGGGAGGGAGGGAGAGGAAGAAAGAAAGAAAGAAAGAAAGAAAGAGGGAGGAAGGCAGGAAAGAAAAAAGAAAGAAAGAAAAGAAAGGAAAGAAAAAAGGAAGAAAGGAAAGAAAAAGAAAGAAAAAGAAAGAAAGAAAGAGGGAGGAAAGAAGGAAGGAAGGAAGGAAGGAAGGAAGGAAGGAAGGAAGGAAGGAAGGAAGAAAGAAAGAAAGAGGGAGGAAGGCAGGAAAGAAAAAAGAAACAAAGAAAAGAAAGAAAGGAAAGAAAGGAAAGAAAAAAGGAAGGAAGAAAGGAAAAAGAAAGAAAGAAAGAAAGAGGGAGGGAGGGAAGAAGGAAGGAACAAAGAAAAAGAAAGAAAGAAAGAAAGAAAGAAAGGAAAGAAAGTTGGTGGATCTTGTGTCTCTTTACAAAGCCAGCCTTACTCAAGAGAGATGTGTACATCCAAGTAGACCATTTTTCTAAACGCCCCCCCCCCCCCCCCAGTTCTCGTCTCAAATTTCAGGGGTTCCATGCTGGAGCTGCCATCCAGGAGAGGACCCGATTTATTCCAGTCTATCAGAAAAGATGAGAGACTGATAGCAAAGACAAGGCCACCCGAAGAACGCTGACAAAAAGCTCTTTTTTTTTTTTTTTAAACCCCCTGGACAGGATGAGGGTTAAGCATCCTGGCTGGAAAGAGGAGAAGAGCGTGTGTGTGTGTGAACGTTCACTTCGGAGATGGAAAAATATGGATTCCGTTAAGCCATAGTTTGTAACATTCCCAGGCTGCGGAGAACGATATTCTACCTGCCCAGATGTTTGAGTGGAGAAATATCTGCTTCATGCTGCTTTAGCCTTTCCACAAAACCCCAAAAAAAGCACGACCGTGTTAGATCTGGGTTCCTTTACATCATAGAAGAAACTCACCCATCCTTAAATCTTTTTTTAAAAAAAAATAATAATCCAAAATAAACGCCGGTTGGAAAAAAAAAAAAAAAGCAAGCAAGAGGAGACAGAGGCCCGCAGCGGTTGAGTTTTGCGTTCCCGGGCGGCAGGAAAGCACGGCTCCATCCAAGGCCAGAGAGCCCAGCGAGGGACTACGAAACCTCTTTTTTCGGCACGCTCCTTGGCCTTCCTGCACAAAATCACCCTAGATTTAGGCGCGAGAGAGAGAGGACAACGAAAACGACGCAGCCGTTGAAAGCAGATGGTGGGCCCAGCGGCCTCGGCGAGAAAAAGCGAGCGAGCAAAATGAAGGGGAGACGGGAGAGGATGCTTCTCCTGCACAGTCTGGGTAGCACCAACGTCTCTGATGTTCCTCGGGTCCTCTGCACGTCTCTTCCAGAACTCAAGACCTGCTCCAAAATGAGCCGGGCTTGGCTGGCCTCCCAAGGTTGCCGGTTCAGAAACAACTGAAGAGGGCGAGGCTGTCGGTTGGGAATCCCGGACAGTCTTTCAAAACGGGAGGTGTACGGAAGAGGTACGCGACGGTCGGTCGGTCGGTCGGGCTGTCCCTCGCCAAGGTTAGCAACCGGATTCCACCTTAATGTGTAAAATCTTTGAGAAGCCTGGCCTTTTCTTCAACGCCTGGAGGGGGGGGAGGAGGAGGAGGAGGAAGAGGAAGAGGGAGTCAGGAAATTGTCTATGGAGCCTCTCAGTCAATCCAGGTGTTTTTTTCAAATCTTCCTTGGTTTTTCCTTGGAAGACGATTCGCTTCTCATCCAAGAAGCTTCTTCCGTTCTGGCTGAAGGGTTCCCCAACCTACCTTCAGAGAGTCAACGACCAGATGACTGCAAGGAATATAAATCCTTCCATTCCCCACCCTTCGGTCAGAACGGAAGAAGCTTCTCGGAGGAGAAGCGAAACGTCTTCAAGGAAAAAACGAAGAAAGCCCAGTTGAACCCTTGAAAAAGCACTTTTGGGTTAAGGTAAAGAACTGTCCATCCACAGTCAAGGAGGACTTTAGGAGGACCTCAAGACCAAGACATCTTCGACCTTCAAATTGTTCTCCAAAGCACCAGAGGGAAGGACAAGAAACAATGGATGGAAACTGACCAAGGAGAGAAGCAACCTGGAATTAAGGAGGAACTTCCTGACAGTGAGGACGATTAACCAGTGGAACGGCTGGCCACCAGAAATTGTGGGTGCTCCATCACTGGAGGTTTTTAAGAAGAGACTGGACAGGCACTTGTCTGAGATGGTGTAGGTTCTCCTGCTTGAGTGGGGGGCTGGACTAAAAGACCTCCAAGGTCTCTTCCAGATTCTATTCTATTCTATTCTATTCTATTCTATCCCATAATTCTATTCTATTCTATCCCACAATTCTATTCTATTCTATTCTATCCCATAATTCTATTCTATTCTATTCTATTCTATTCTATTCTATTCTATTCTATTCTATTCTATTCTATTCTATTCTATTCTATTCTATTCTATTCTATTCTATCCCATAATTCTATTCTATTCTATTCTATTCTATTCTATTCTATTCTATTCCATAATTCTATTCTATTCCATTCTATTTTCTATTCTATTTTCTATTCTATTCTATTCTATATTCTATTCTATTCCATTCCATTCCATTCCATTCCATTCCATTCCATTCCATTCCATTCCATTCTATTCTATTCTATTCTATTCTATTCTATTCTATTCTATTCTATTCTATTCTATTCTATTATCATTATTCTATTCTGTTCTGTTCTGTTCTGTTCTATCATTCCATTCCATTATCTGGACCAAAACCATCTCACCTCTAAGCTGACTTGAGTAGTTGGGGGCATCCATGGTGAGGTCAAGGAGGTGAAGATGGTCTCCATGCCCCAGAGAGACACTTGTGTAGGATGAGTGGAAATCTGGGGTGTGAACTATGGGGTCCTTGATGCTCTCTCAGCATTCCAAAGGAGGCTTCACCAGATCACTGAGCCTGGTAGTTTTCTTGCAGACGTTTCATCACCCAACTAGGTAACATTATCAGTGCTGGAAAGGGTTGGGGTTTGCGGAGTGGAGGAGAAGGAGGAGGAGAAGGAGGAGGAGGAGGAGGAGGAGGAGGAGGACCGTGGGGTCCTTGATGCTCTGTGAGCTTGGTAGTTTTATATTGCAGCTGTTTCATTACTAAACTAGGTAACCTCACCAATGCACAGAGCACTGATGCTATTACCTAGTTGGGTGATGAAACGTTTGCAAGAAAACTACCGAGCTCAGTGATCTGGTGAAGCCTCCTTTGGGATGCAGCAGCAGCTGGAAATACAACATCTGTCTTCAGTCTCTGCACTCGAGTGTTTCTCTTCTCAGCCTCTTCTGGCCTCTTTTCCACACAGCCCCATCCATCGCGCTACTCAAGTTTCTAGTCCCTGCCACCCAAGGGCTGCAGGCCTGTTAAGAATGCACCCGCCATTCCCATCGATAATCCACAGAGGGAGGAATCCGTTTACCTGGAGTTTGTTGATCATTTCATCAAACATTTTCTTGGCCTCCGAACTATTTGGTTCCTTAAAGTAATCGGCAATCCCAACTTGGACCACAATGGATTTCAGGTTCCGGCAAACACCTGGAAGGAGAGAGAACTTGGTTTGATATTGGGGACACCAAGGGCAAAAAAAGTCAAGATGGCATAGTTGTGCCCCATTGTACGACCTTTTTGCCACCATTGTTAAAGGCGCTTAAATGTTGTTAAATGAATCGTGTGGTTGTTCGGTGAATCTGGCTTCCCCTATTGCCTTTGCTTGTCGGAAGCTGGCTGGGAAGGTTACAGATGATGATCATGTGATCCCAGGACAGCGAAACTGTCATAAACATGGGCCAGCTGTCAAGCACACAGATTTTGGTTATGAGACCATGGGGATGCTGCAACGGTCGTAAGTCTGAAAACTGGTCATAAATCTTTTTTTCAGCGCTGTTGTAACTTCGAATGGCCACTAAACGAATGATTATAAGTCGAGGATTATATGTCTATGTCTATTTATCTATCTCTATTATCTATCCTATCTCTCATCTCTCTCTCTCTCTCTCTTCTCTCTCATCTGTATCTGTCTGTCTATCTATCTATCTATCTATCTATCTATCTATCTATCTACTCTCTCTTCTTCTATCTCTCTTCTATCTCTCTTCTATCTCTCATCTATGTATCTATGTATCTATGTCTATCTATCTATCTATCTATCTATCTATCTATCTATCTATCTATTCTCTCATCTGCCTATCTGTCTTTCTCTCTTTCTCTCTCTCTGTCTATCTCTTCTCTCTCATCTGTCTATATGTCTCTTCTCTCTCATCTGTCTATGTCTGTCTGTCTGTCTATCTATCTATCTATCTATCTATCTATCTATCTATCTATCTATCTATCTATCTATCTATATATCTATCTATCTATCTATCTATCTATCTCTATCTCTTTTTTCTTCTATCTATCTATCTATCTATCTATCTATCTATCTATCTATCTATCTATCTATCTATCTATCTCTATCTCTTGTTTCTTCTATCTTCTCTCCTATCTATCTATCTATCTATCTATCTATCTATCTATCTATCTATCTATCTATCTATCTATCTATCTATCTATCTGTCTGTCTGTCTGTCTATCATCTCTATCTCTTCTTCTATCTCTCTTCTATCATCTATGTATCTATGTATCTATGTATCTATCTATCTATCTATCTATCTATCTATCTATCTATCTATCTATCTATCTATCTATCTCTTCTCTCTCATCTATCTATCTATCTATCTATCTATCTATCTATCTATCAATCATCTCTCTCTTGTTTTTTCTCTCTCTTCTCTCTCTCTCTCTCTCTTCTCTCTCTATCTATCTATCTATCTATCTATCTATCTATCTCTTCTCTCTCATCTATCTATCTATCTATCTATCTATCTATCTATCTATCTATCTATCTATCTATCTATCTATCTATCTATCTATCTATCTATCCATCCATCCATCCATCCATCCATCCATCCATCCATCCATCCATCCATCCATCCATCCATCTATCTATCTCACAGTGAGCCGCTTAAGGACCACAGGCAAAAGGTAGTAAAATTGGGCACGACTCACTTAATGACTGCATTGCTTAAGGAGAGAACTTTCAGTGCCAATTATGGATGTAAACTGAGGACAACCATTCATTCTTTGTGCTGACAAGAGCTGCTATTTCTGGTTCTGGCTGCTTCATTCCCAGCAGGTCCGTTTCTCCGAGGTCTCTCGGAATGGAAAATAAAGGATGTTCTTTTACTTAATTAATGGGGCTGCCGTTTTTTAATTACTACATTAATCAACAGTGTGTATCAATCCATAGACAGAAGATTTCATAGCAGATTTTATCAGCATCTTTGGACTGAAGGGCAGATTCCTTCGGTTTTAAGGAAGATGGGCTGCTGGGCACTTTTACACGAGTAATTTAATTTAATTAGCTTTGTTATGGCTAGCCCTTCAACAGGACTTTAGCCGCCTTACAAAAATCCCCCGAACAATGAAACAATTAAAAAAAAAAAAACCCACACAAACCGCCAGCCCAGATAAAAACGCCAAGAACAATAAAAGGCAACACAGCAGAACATAAAATAAAATGCTAAAAGCACCAACTCCTTGTGTAAATATTTCTTGACTTACAACAGTTCATTTAGTGACCGTTCAAAGTTGCAAGGGCAGTGAAAAAAGGGACTTACAACTGTTTTTCACACTTACAGCTGTTGCAGCATCCCCAGGATCAAAATCCAGACGCTTGGCAACTGGCTCCTATTTACGACGGTCGCAGCGTCCCGGGGTCACGTAATCCCCTTTTGTGACCTCCTGACAAGCGTAGTCAATGGGGGGAAGCCAGATTCACTTAACAGCCACTTAACAACTGTGGCAAGAAAGGTCGTAAAACGGGGAAAAAAAGCCTCACTTAGTAACCTCTTGCTGAGCAAGAGAAATTTGGGACTCAGCTGCGGGTGTGAGTTGAGAATTACCTCTAATCCTTGTCATATGACTGTAACGTATGTCGTGACGTATGTCGTGACGGTCATAAAATGAGTCAGCCACATGACCAACCTTATTGGGGTTTTTTGCACCAGTCATTAAGCAAATGCAGCGGTCATAAATGGGAACTGGTCCCTTGCTATAGATGTCATTTTTGCCCCAAAATGGAAATAAGTACTGCTTTTCGGCAAAAACACAGTCCCATGGGCTGCTGCAAACAACTGTTAATGTGCCCATGTTGCGAAGCCTCACATGAACATGGTGTGTGTGTGTGTGTGTGTGTGTGTGTGTGTGTGTGTGTGTGTGTGTGTGTGTAATGGAGGGCTGACCATCCTCATTTTGGATCTGGCTGGTAAATCCGGTTTTTCAGATAGGTTGTAATTGTGAAGGGTCACTAAACGGCCGGTCGTAAATCAAGGACTGCCTGTATCTGGCCTTCCCTATCCAGGTGACCTCTAGAGGTCAGTGAAAGGACACACACAACTCTAACCCGGGAGTCCAACCTTGACCGCTTGAAGACCTGCGGAGTTCAACGGCGTGGCTGGCTGGGGAATTCTGGGAGTTGAAGTCCGCAGGTCTCAAAATGGCGCACGTTGGACCTTCCTGGGCTGGCGGTTTGCCGCCACCTAGTGGCCTGGCCCAGATTTACGTACTCTGCTTTTCGCAGCCATCAGGCAGAAATGAAAGGGGTCCCCCTCCTTCCAGCCCCCCCCCCTTCCTGAGCGTCCACTCACTGTTGAAGTGCAGTAAGGCTTTGGGGGTCACCGGGGTGGACGTGAGGACCAGCATCTCCAGACCTTTCAAGCCTTCCCGACACACCTCGGCCGCCACCTCTTGGTTGACCTCCGTCACGTGGTCCAGCTCCAGCACCTGAAGACGCATGCAGTTCCGGGCTGATAGGAGAGAAAAACCATCAGAGAGTCAGGCCGGCCACGGTCCTTGCACACCGGGGGGGGGGTGTCAAGAGGCCACGGTCCTTGCACACCAGTGGGGTCAACAGGACACCGTACTTGCACACCAGGGGGGTCTACAGGCCACAGTCCTTGCACACCATGATAGTCAAGAGGCCACGGTCCTTGCACACCAGGGGGGTCAAGAGGTCACTGTCCTTGCACACCAGGGCGGACAAGAGGCCACTGTCCTTGCACACCAGGGCGGTCAAGAGACCACGGTCGTTGCACACCAGTGGGGTTAAGAGGCCACGGTCCTTGCACAACAGGGGGGTCCAGAGGCCACGGTCCTTGCACACCAAGGCGGTCAAGAGGCCACGGTCCTTGCACACCACGATGGTCAAGAGGCCACTGTCCTTGCACATCAGGGGGGGTCAAGAGTCCATGGTTCTTGCACGCCAGGGTGGTCAAGAGGCCACAGTCTTTGTACATCATGATGGTCAAGAGGCCACTGTCCTTGCACAGCAGGGCGGTCAAGAGGCCACGCTCCTTGCAAACCAGGGTAGTCACGATGCTATGTTTAAGATGGGTGGACTTCGACTCCCAGAATTCCCCAGCCAGCATTGCTGGCTGGGGAATTCTGGGAGTTGAAGTCCACAAGTCTTAAAATGGCCGAGTTTGGACATCCCTGCCTTAAACCACGTTCAGTCTGAAGACGTGAGAAAAGCACCTTCCGTGTCTCTTTTCCTTCCTTCTTCCTGGGCCACAAAAGGTCCCAAACCCTGGACTCACCTAAGGAAGCCAGTCCCTGCAGGCCGCAGCCGGCTCCTCCGACACCCAGCGCTCTCAAGTGTGGCCAGCAACGCCCAATCATCTGCAGACAGCGGTTGCTAAACCTGGTGGGTTGCTGGCTGGAAAACATGTTTGAAAGGAGAGAGACAAGAAGCTAATCGTGAATATCACGTCATGGAGGTACACATTAGGACAGGGGTAGGCAACCTCGGCTCTTTTATGACTGGTGGACTTCAACTCCCAGAATTCCTGAGCCAGCAGTGCTGAGGGGAAAGAGAGAGGTTTCCAAGCGGAGCCATGCTGCCTCAGGAATTCTGGGAGTTGAAGTCCACCAGTCATAAAGCGGCCTAGGCCTAGGCCAGAGGTAGGCAACCTGGCTCTTTTATGACTGGTGGACTTCAACTCCCAGAATTCCTGAGCCAGCCACGCTGAGGGGAAAGGAAGAGGTTTCCAAGCTGAGCCAGGCTGGCTGAGGAATTCTGGGAGTTGAAGTCCGCAAGTCATGAAGGGGCCATAGTTCCCCCATGCTGGCTGAGGAATTCTGGGAGTTGAAGTCCACGAGTCATAAAGCGGCCTAGGCCTAGGCCAGAGGTAGGCAACTTTGGCTCTTTTATGACTGGTGGACTTCAACTCCCAGAATTCCTGAGCCAGCCATGCTGAGGGGAAAGGGAGAGGTTTCCAAGATGAGTCATGCTGGCTCAGGAATTCTGGGAGTTGAAGTCCACCAGTCATAAAGTGGCCTAGGCCTAGGCCAGGGGTAGGCAACTTGGGCCCTTTTATGACTTGTGGACTTCAACTCCCAGAATTCCTGATCCAGTATAGGGAACTATGATCCCTTTATGACCTCTGGACTTCAACTCCCAGAATTCCTGAGCCAGCATGGCTCAGCTTGTAAACATCTCCCTTTCCCCTCAGCGTGGGTGGCTCAGGAATTCTGGGAGTTGAAGTCCACCAGTCATAAAAGAGCCAAGGTGGCCTACCCCTGCATTAGGAAGAGAACCTGGTCAACAGAGCTGGTTGGAGCATCTTCATAGCTTGAGCTCCAGAGAGCAGGGAGTGGTGTGGGAGGGGGTGTCAAAAAAGAGAAAGCAGACATGGGAATGTCCAGGGGTGCCCCTTACCACGGATGAAGGGGTGCCACCTGAAGAGAGATGATATCTCGGCAACCTGCTCCCAAGGCCCAGATGACTTCGTGGCCCACAGGATCGGTGGAGCTCCTGGACCGGGAAAATAGAAGAAAGCAAAAGATCAGTTCTTCTGGAAAACTGGCACGGATTAGGGAAAGAGACCCACAGATGGGCCTGGTAGAGGAGCTGCGTGTGGGAACAAGTGCTCCTATTTGTCTATTTTTTTTTCTTAAAAAATATATATATCACAAAACGAGAGCAGAGCTGGAGAGAATTGATCTGCAACTTTATTTGGTGGGTCAGCAGTTGTCGGATCTGTGTGTTCTCAGAGGTAGGCCACGCTTGTTTCTCAGTAAGCCGGACTTACTAGAGGTTGGGAGACAGAATGGAAACGCCTTCATTGCACAAAATATGGACAGACTTCACCACAGTTTCAACCGAGAAACGATGAGCGTCCTGGACCAAGCTAAATCCCCCAAAACGCTAGAGAATTCCTGGATGCCTGACACTCAGGCGACTCAGCCATCGATGGGCATGTAGAGATAAACAACGTTTGCACACCGTTCAAAAGAGAACCGGAAAAAGCTAAAAGGGAAACGAAAAGATGACACCACTTTCTTGACAGCAATCAACACCCAGACTAGATCAACAACCTAGCCATTAACAACCCCCCCAATCAAGGAACTTCCAAGCCAGACCAACAATCCAGCAGTAAACAACAGCCTAATTGAAGTATCACCAAGAATTCTCCCGCCAATATTGACAAGGCAAGCCACTGGATTATAAACAGAGAGCACACCCCAGCCTTTCTAGCACTGATGATGTTACCTAGTTGGGTAATGAGACGTCTGCAAGGAAACAACCAAACTTAGAAAGTATCATGAACCTCACAGTCCTCCTCCTCCTCCTCCTCCTCCTCCTCCTCCTCCTCCTCCTCCTCTTTGCAAACCCCACTCCTTTCTAGCAGTGATAATGTTACTTAGTAAGTAGGGTAATGAAACATCTGCAACAAAACCACCCAGCTCAGAGAGCACCAAGGACCCCACAGTCCTCCTCCTCCTCCTCTTCCTCCTCCTCCTCCCCCCTCCCCTCCCTTCTAGCACTGATGATGTTACCTAGCTGGGTAATGCAACGTCTGCAAGAAAATAATCAAGCTCAGAGAGCACCCAGGACCCCATTTCCACTTGACCACCATCCCATTTTAGGGCAAAACAAAGGATTGCTCTCCATCATAGATTTGGGGGTACCCAAATCAGTATCTCCCCCCCCCCATCCAATAGGAAGTGCCTTGCATATTCCTGCATGATGAAAGAGGCCACGTAGATGACAACAAGCCGAAATGAAAACTGAATTAAAACTTTCTCAAAGGGGGGGGGGATTTTAGCGGGAAGATGCCGGCTCCCGTTAGGAGATTGGGACGCCTCGTGCATCTTCGGTCCCTTTCCCTCCCCAAAACGGTAAGCATTATAAATCCCCACACGTCCCCGTGAGCCTTAGAGGTGGCAAATCAATCAATTAATAAAAATAACCTTTATAAAACTAGCGTGGCTTTTTGCATGGCCCAGTTCCACGCTAGAGAAGAGCCTAAAAATAAATACAAGCATGAATTATCTGGAAAAATTCCTCTGCCTCTCCCGGAGCTGCCTGCCAAGGCTCCCGAATTGTTTGGTGTGGCCTTAATTGAAGGGATGAGTCATCCTGGCAGATTAGAAGGCTGGAAAACTGTGCAGGTAGACTTGTCTGTCCAGAGTGAAAAAAGAGGAAGGAAAGGGAAGGAGGATGGGATATTTGCACCCGGAAGGACCAACTGATCTAATGCAAGGCCCTGCTCCAAGCCAAACTGTTGGCTGAGGAATTCTGGGAGTTGAAGTCCACTCCTCTTAAAGTCTATATCGGGGGTCTTCAAACTTGGCCCTTTGATGACTTGTGGACTTCAACTCCCAGAATTCCTCAGCCAGGCATGCTAGCTGAGGAATTCTGGGAGTTGAAGTCCACTCCTCTTAAAGTCTACATCAGGGGTCTTCAAACTTGGCCCTTTTATGACTTGTGGACTTCAACTCCCAGAATTCCTCAGCCAGGCATGCTGGCTGAGGAATTCTGGGAGTTGAAGTCCACTCAAAGTCTATAGCAGGGGTCTTCAAACTTGGCCCTTTTATGACTTGTGGACTTCAACTCCCAGAATTCCTCAGCCAGGCATGCTGGCTGAGGAATTCTGGGAGTTGAAGTCCATTCCTCTTAAAGTCTACATCAAGGGTCTTCAAACTTGGCCCTTTTATGACTCGTGGACTTCAACTCCCAGAATTCCTCAGCCAGGCATGCTAGCTGAGGAATTCTGGGAGTTGAAGTCTACTCCTCTTAAAGTCTATATCAGGGGTCTTCAAACTTGGCCCTTTTATGACTCGTGGACTTCAACTCCCAGAATTCCTCAGCCAGGCATGCTGGCTGAGGAATTCTGGGAGTTGAAGTCCACTCCTCTTAAAGTCTATACCAGGGGTCTTCAAACTTGGCCCTTTTATGACTTCACCTGAAGTTGAGGGTCTTAAGGAGTCGGTCCGTGCGCTGGTCCTCTCCCGATCTCACAGAGATCTCGTCCAACGGGTGCACTACGGGAGAATCTATGGTTGGTACTTAATTAGAGGTCCGACCGACTCATTCTTACCGTCCTTGGCTCTACGGTTGGGTCGTCTACAGAGCACACACACACACACATACACACACACTGTTGTCTGTTTGCTTTTGCACAATCTGCTCTGGAAAATTCTGCAGTGGAGAAATTGTTCCAGCCTCTCCTCCCCGCTGCCAGCCCTGTGTCCTCGGCACCCTCTATTCTTAGAAGCAGTGTCATGTCTGAATGCCACCTCGAGTCCTTGACAAGCGGCCTTGTTGTCTCTGCTGCGAATTTCCTTCGGCAGAAACACAACGCGACACAGCAAATGACTCAGAGGCTTTGCAAGCAGGCAGGGAGGCAATTAAAATAATCTCCCACGCCTGCATCACGGAGGGAAAAGGATGTCCTGAATCGGATCGAACCTCAATATTGAGAGCGACTGCAGTACAGGTAGTCCTCGATTTACGACCGTAATTCAGCCCAAAGTTTCTGTTGCTAAGAGAGGCAGTGAAGTGATTTTTGGCCCATTTTACAATCGGTCGTTATGTGAAGCACTGCACTGTTGTTAAATTAGTAACACGGTCATTAAGAGAATCTGGATTCTCCCTTGACTTTGCTTGTCAGAAGGTCTCAGAAGGGGATCGTGTGACCCCGGGACACTGTGACTGGCACAAATATGAGTCCCGTGCCAAGTGTCTGAATGTTGACGGCGTGATTGTGGAGATAGCCATAAGTGTGAGGACCGCTCATAAAAGCAGGCAGAAACTTCGGCAACACTGTTATGGCTGCCATCTTAATTTTTTTTTCACTGTGCCCTATAGATGTTCCTGTCAAATAATAATAATAATAATAATAATAATAATAATAATAATAATAATAACAACAACAACAACAACAACAACAACAACAACAACAACAACAAGCACCTGCAACATAACACCCCAGACTTAACAATTGTCGATAAGAAAGACAAAAAAAGTCTGGATAGTGGACGTGGCAGTGCCTGGAGACAGCAGAATAGATGAGAAAGAACTGGAGAAGATAACACAATACAAAGACCTACAAATAGAAATAGAAAGACTGTGGCAAAGGCAAGCAAGGGTAGTACCAATAGTCATAGGCGCCTTGGGTGCAATCCCAAAACAACTGGAGCACCACTGGAACACCATTGGCATTGACAAATTTGTCATTAGTCAATTGCAAAAGGCGGCCTTACTAGGAACTGCTTCCATCCTGCGATGATATCTGTAATAACATCAAACATCCACATCTGCCTATCCCAGGTCCTTGGGAAGGACTCGATAGGTAGGCAAAATGCCAAATCCAGTCTGAACATCTGGCTGACTGTGCGATGATCCATAATAATAATAATAATAATGATGATGATGTTATTGCACTGTTTCCTCTGTCAACAACACTGAATAACTCAGGACATGGCTATCAAACATCAAAAACATCTGCCAGACTATCCCACCTCCTTTACATGGATGATCTGAAGCTGTATGGAAAAACATCATCTGAAATAGAATCGCTGCTCAACACTGTCCGTATATATAGCCAAGATATTGCAATGGAGTTTGGCTTGGACAAATATGCCACACTTACTATCAAACAAGGAAAAAAATAGTGAAAACTGAAGGAATCAAGATGCCCCACGAAAATAAGATTAAGAGTCTGGATGAGGAAGATTACTACAAATACTTGGGTATCCTTCAAGCTGACAACATCAAGCACACTGAAGTCAAGAAAAAGATTAGAGGTGAATACATCAAGAGAGTGAAGAAGATCTTAAAGTCTAAACTCAATGGAGGAAATACCATGAAAGCAATCAACACCTAGGCAATTCCAGTCATTAGATACACAGCTGGAATAGTGGACTCAAGCAGAACTAAAAGCAATGGATAGGAAGAGCAGAAAAATAACGACAATGAATCCCGCCTTTCATCCACGCAGCGACATTGACAGACTCTACCTACCAAGGCAAATAGGTGGGCGTGGAATGCTGCAAGTACATCAGATAGTTGAAGAAGAAGGAAAAAAAATGGTTTTGGAAGAATATCTGAAGGGCAGTGATGAAGATGCACTGAAATTAGTATATCAGGAAGGCTTACTGACTACTGGAGAGACCAAACTGGCCTACAAGAAAGACCAAATGAAGAACAGAATAGAGGCATGGGAAGGCAAAGCACTACAGGGCCAGTACATTTAAAAACAAAATAGCTGGAAAAGCAGATAATAACAAGACCTGGCAATGGCTGAGCCCTTTTCTTTTTCCAAAAATGCAAAACTGTCCAGGATGGGGTGGTAATGGTCCAGAGCAGACTCCAAAACGTTGATGTGATTGATTGATTTATTTTTTGCAAAGTTCAGCCTCCAGACACCCAAAATAGACAAATCTCAAAAATATGAAAAAAATACAGGCCGGTCCTTGACTTATAACAGTTCCTTTAGTGCCGTTAAAACAGCAATGAATAATAATAATAAAAAAGACTTAGGACCATTTTTAACGCTTACGACCGTCGCAGCATCCCCATGGTCACGTGATCCAAATCCAGATGTTTGACAACTGATTCATATTGGTCATGTGATCCCTTTTTGCGACCTTCTGAACAGCCGCGGTGGGGAAGCCAGACTCATTCAACCCCCGTGTTACTCATTTAACCTCCGCGGCAATAAAGGCTGTAAAATGGGGGCAAAAGTCCCTTCACAAATGTCTTGCTTAGCAGCAGAAATGTTGGTCTCTATGGGGTCGTAAGCCGAGGACTTTACCTGCAGACATCACGCTGGAGGGCAACGTTTTCAAGGAGAGATTGGATAAATGCCATGAAATGGCATAGGGTTTCCTGCCTGAGTAGGGGGTTGGACTAGATGACCTCCACGCTCCCTTCCCACTCTGTTATTCTATCCTTCCTTCCTTCCTTCTTTCCTTCCTTCCTTCCTTCCTTCCTTCCTTCCTTCCTTCCTTCCTTCCTTCCTTCCTTCCTTCCTTCCTTCCTTCCTCCCTCCCTCCCTCCCTCCCTCCCTCCCTTCTCCAACACTGGAAGTTTTTAAGAAGAGATCGGACAGCCATTAGTCTGAAACGGCATAGGGTTTCCTGCCTGAGTAGGGGGTTGGACTAGATGACCTCCACACTCCCTTCCCACTCTGTTATTCTATCCTTCCTTCCTTCCTTCCTTCCTTCCTCCCTTCCTCCCTCGCTTCTCCAACACTGGAAGTGTTTAAGAAGAGACCGGACAGCCATTTGTCTGAAACGGCATAGGCTTTCCTGCCTGAGTAGGGGGTTGGACTAGATGACCTCCACGCCCCCTTCCCATTCTGTTATCCTTTGATTCTATCTTTTGAGAGCTGCTCCCCCTCCCTTTTCCCCCCCTTTCCTAAACCGTCTGAGGGATTGAATCCAGCTGGGCTAATTACAAGATGTCTCCCTCCAAAGCTGACAGCACAACAGCCCGTCGCAACCCACGGGAGCGCTCGGCTCCTTGGCAATGCCAACCGTGCCGAGGGAGCCTGGGGGTGCCGCCACCCCAATCTTTTGTTCTCTTGCTGCTTCTCCAGCCCCGACGGAGAGAGGAAAGGCTGTGATTATTTCACACAACCTCGCTCTTCTCCGCACGGTGCCAAGGACTGTCTGGGTGGCATGGCTGCCAACTCCGCCCTTGTTCTCCCAGGGATTCAGATCCATCTCCTGGGAGTATTGCTTCAAATCTGCGGCACTGGAAACAGAACTGGCGGGGTGGGTGCTGCCCCCAAAGAAGGGGATGTAATACAGGTAGTCCTCGCCTTACGACCGCCGTGGAGCCCAACCTTTCTGTTGCTAAGCCCGACAGCAATTAAGGGAGCTTTGCCCCCGTTTTACGATCTCCCTTGCGCCGTTCGTTAAGCGAATCACTGCAGTGTTAAGTTATGAACACGGTCGTTAAGCGAATCTGGCTTTCCCCCTCGACTTTGCTCGTCAAAAGGGGATCACCTGACCCCGGGACACGGCAACCGTCATAAGTATGAGTCGGTTGCCGAGCGTCCGAATTTGGATGCTCTAATGGTCGTAAGTGTGAAAAAGGGTCATAAGTCACGTCTTTTTTTCCCAGGGCTGTTGTAACTGCGAAGGGTCACCGAACGGATGGTTTACTCGGTAACCGAACCTCTGTGGTTGTTTAGTTAGTAACACGGTTGTTAAGTGAATCTGCCTTTCCCGTTGTCTTTGCTTGTCATGATCATATGACCGTAGGACACGGCAACCGTCATAAATGCAGGCCAGTTGCCAGGCGTCCGAATTTTGATTGACCAGGGGGATGCTGCAACGGTTGTAAGCACGGACAACGGTCATAAATCCCTTTTTCCGGCGCCGTTGGAACGGTCACTAAACGAATAGTTGTACGTTGAGGACTGCTTGTAGTTTGGGGGAAACGTAAGGATTCTAGGCTTATTCCTCCCTTGACTCCACCCCTGGTTCTGCCTTTCCTCCTACGGCATCTCCATTTTGCTAGGAAGACATTTCTGACTACGATTTGGCCAGTCTTGAGCTGAGGTTGGCCAGCCAAACGTGGTCAGTCGTTGTCCTTGGAATGAGAAACTCTGGTTTGGTTGGACGCCCCCAATGGCACCCGCTTACCGGTAGGTGACGGCTTGGAGAGCTCGGCAGTAGCAGCTGGCCAGCCAGAGGGAGCGGTCCGTCAAAATGTTGGGGCAGTGGGAAACCCGTAGGATCAAGAGGTTACTCCCGGAAGCTTTGAGTAAGGACTCCAGTCCTGCTTCGAGGCAGCCCCTAGCAAGACAAATCCCAGAAAAAGGAAGAGAAAATCGTAAATTCTTTACATCGGCTGGTTTTCTGTAAAAGATGGCTCG